ATAAGCCTCACAAAACTCAAGAAGTACAATAGGAGAGAGAGAGAAAAAAAAGGGAGAAATTTCGAGCTCTAAGGAGCTTTGGACGAAATTATTGGAGGTCCCTTGAACTGTGCCCGAGATTTCTTATTTATAGGCATCAGATGTGGGCCGGAACGACCCGTTCTGGATTCGGAACGACCCGTTCCGGATCTGAACGTTAAGTGTTAACTTTGTACCCTAGAACGGCCCGTTCTGAAATCAAAACGGCCCGTTCCGAAGAACCAGAACGGCCCGTTTTGATTTCAGAACGGCCTGTTCTAGGGAACACTTTTTAGGCCATTTGATGGGTTTGGAACGGCCCGTTCTGGCCTAGAACGGCCCGTTCCAACCTAACTTTTTTAGTCCTTTTGATTGGTTTGGAACGGCCCGTTCCGATTTTGGAACGGCCCGTTCTGGGCCACTAAAAAAATTGATTTGGACCCTCTGATGTCCTATTTTGCTAATTGTATGCCCCCGGATGAAATTGAGTGTCTACAGCTGCCCCTCTTTACTTGTCCTTTGGAATATAAAAGTGACATACTTGGTTGATATTAAGACATGGTCTGATATCAGTATTAAGTCATTCCAAAAGCCAACCACAAGATCATACTCGTGGAGTATAAAAGTGTCTGTTTCCAACATGTCTATAAATCATATGTATATGAGCAGTGCTATGCTCTAAAATAGTGTTGCGTCATAGGTTAAAACAGTGATGAAACTACAAACATTGAACAAATCATATTAAGGTTTAAAAATTACCAAAAATAAAAAATGTACCTAGCAGATTCTCTTTCCAATACCATCTCACTATCCTGTATACACAAACCAACAACATATACTTTGCACCACTCCACTTACAAAAAAATAAAAGACATACACCAAAACAAAAATAAGGGCTTAATTGAAAGTGCAAGAAGAAGCATAATCTATTTAACCCAAAATTCATCCATACATTTAAAAAAAACCCTAAATTCACCCAAATATCCAATAACCAAAAGAAAAAAAAACTCAAATAATCAGCACGAGACAAAGTTATGCAGTTAGCTAGCAGCTTATCCAGCCTCCTATCTAACATCAATAGCAAAATGTTCACCTCATCTCAAAAACCCAAACCACAACAATTTCTAGAGGTGCAAATCATCAAATTTTTTTAAAATGTGTTATGTATAGGACTATTTGCGAAACTAAAGTGAACGTTAAGAAGGGGAACGACAAACTTACTGAGGGATCAAAGGTCTTGAAGATATTGAGGAATGTAGGAGTTTTTCTTGACGAACAACTGGAGAGGCTGTGCCGCCAAGATGAAGAGTGCTTCGAGGAGGTGGTCGACGTTGTTCTACAACGATTAGGAACGGATGAGAGAGTTACGGATTAGGAACTGACGAGAGGGTTAGGGATTACGGTGGCTATTTGGTGAATGTGATTTGTTTTTCAATTTCTTTTTTACGGTATGTTTATAATATACGTTTTACAAATAATATAAATTATTATATAATGTCAAAAAAAATTTTAAACAATATAAATAGAAATATAAATTATTAATATATTAGTTTTTATTTGCTAAAAACTTATTTTCATTCTTTAATTTGTTTCTTAAGTTTAATTTCATAATTTTTATTTCAAAAGGTATTAATTAATTTTTTATTTGTTAAAATGTATTCGATTCGATTTATTTTAAAATTAAATTTATTCTTATATTTTGAAAATATTTGAAGTTAAAAGGAAAAGAAATTTGATTAAATTAATGTCATTTTAAAAAATTAAAGATTCAATCAAACCTTTTCAAAAAAATTTAATATTTAAATAACAAAATTAATTATTGAACCTTTTAAAAATAAGATAACCAAATTCAACTTAAAAAATATTAAATATAAATAATATAAATTATTATATATTATAAGAAAAATTTATAACTAATATAAATAGAAATATAAATTATTAATTGTTATATTAGTTTTTATTTTTTAAAAAAATTCAATCTTTAATTTTTTTTCTTATGTTTAATAACATTATTTTTATTTTAAAAGGTATAAATTAAGTTTTTATTTATTAAAATGTGTTGAATTTGATTTATTGTAAAATTAAATTTGCTCTTTTTTTTTTTTTGAAAATATTTGAAGTTAAAAAGAAAAAAATTGATTAAATTAATCTTATTTTTAAAAATTAAAGGCTGAATTCAACCTTCTCAAAATAAATTTAATAATTAAATAAGAAAATAAATTATTAATCATTTTAAAAATAAGAGAACCAAGTTCAACTTAAAAAATTATTAAATAAATAACTTATGTTATATATTGAATTTGAACAATTTAACCATTGAATTAAATGTTCTAAAGTTATAGATGAATTTATAGAATTTTCAAAATAAAAATAAAAATCATTTGATATGTTATATAGATTCAAAATTTAAATGTTTTTGTGATTATCCATTAATTTGAATTAATGAAACAAAGTATCAAATGATTTTTAATTTTTAAATTTTTAAATTTATCCAACCATATTTTTAAACTCAAACTCGATTTGATCAAGATTGAAAAATATAATAGATAAGTTCAAGTTTGACCCAACTTTATTATACTATATGTTAGTTTTAAATAGAGTAAATATTTTTTAAAACCAACTAATATAGTGTAAAGTTAAATTTGTAAAATAAAGGAAGTGCAAAATCTAATTTAAAGTATATTTTTACTATATATTTTAAAAAATAATTTTATTACCAATTACACTATATGATGTTTTAACTTATTTTATTGAGTAAATTATGTTAACCTCCTCTGAGAGATGAGTGTGTTCTAGTTATCTTCACTATTATGTTAAAATATACAATTTAGTACATTTAATTTAATGTAATTAGTGTAAATTACACTCTCTTTCTACAAGTAACATAAGTATTACATTATTCATTCTTCATATATTAAAATATCAAATAAATTATATTTTTATCCCTTACATATAACACAATTAACTATTATATCATAAAACACTAATTTTGTAGATATTATAAAATATTTTTATATAAATTATATCTTAATACTCATATATTACCTTTAATATATGTAATTCATATTATATAATGAAAATGTTATTTTATTTAAATATTTATTATTAACAAAATACATTAACTACATCTATTAACTATTGTTTTAATACTCATATATTATCTTTAATATATGTAATTAATATTATGTAATGAAAATTTTATTTTATTTAAAAAAAATAAATTTACTATAGTCAACTTTGCGAGGGAAAGACGAGAAATACTTTCCCTCGCTAAATAAACTTTTATTATCTCTACTTTTGTGAATGATTGGCGAGAGAAATTTTTCCTTACTAAAGTAAGCTTTACTATTTTAATTATAGTGACACATTAGTGACCAAAGTATTTCCTCGCTAAAATAAATTTTAGATTTTTCTCTTTAGCGAGGGATTAGCGAAGGAAATTTAACCTCGCCAAAACAAATTAAATATTCTAGACATTTTGTGAAGCATTAGCGAGAGAATTTGTTTCTCGCTAATTATTTGTGAGCAATTAGCGACAAAATTTGTGTTCCTCGCAAATTAGCTAGGACTTAGATAAAGATTATTTTTTATCGTGAATTTGTTGCTATTTAGCAAGGGAATAACTAGACAAAATTTCTCACGTTAAAATCCCTTGCTAATTAACAATTTTCTTGTAGTGTAGTAAATTATGTATATAATTTAATAACATATTTTTTTTATATTCTATAAGCTAAATAATATTTTTTGTGTTCCTCTAAAAATGATCCTTGGGCGATTGTCTCGCCATTCATGCTCAGGGCTGCTTCTCAATAATGTTGAAGGTGGCAGTGGTGGACTAGTAATAGTCATGATGTTGATAATGCTAGTGATAGTGATAGTGACAGTGATAGTGATAGTGATAGTGATAGCGACGATAATTGGTTATAGTATACTTTTTTATAAATAAAATTCAAATTCACAAATCATTTTTTTTCAAAGATGAATGTAAAGTATTTCTAATTTACAACCACTCCATAAAAAAATACACTTTCACTTTCTTTTTGACTAACAATGGCAACAAACACTCTTT